CAACATGTAAATATGTAAACTAGTTTTTATAAAGAATAAATAAAGTACGCTTAGATGCGTTTTGAAAAAAAAAAAAAGTATCAAATTTATTTGGTCTTCCAGGATTATATTCACGCAAATTAATAGTAATTTCAGGATCTTCTAATTCAAGAACTAGTTTAATTCTTTCATCTATTTTAGCTTCATTTACAGATCTCGGTACAGAAGAATCCCTGGTTAATATACGATAAAGAGTTCGAAGTGCTGCAGACTTAATATTTAGTAGAAGTAAATCATATATACGAAAATAGTTTGCTCTCATTGTGCAAGTATGATAGTGAGAAGAAAGGGCTTAAAGCCCATTAACTATATTCGTATTTCGTTGCATCATTGTGGTTTTATTAGCATCACCATCAATCTTCCAAATAGAAATTGTATTATATACATTATTACCAGAGTTAAATCGAAATTCACCAAGTTTAAAGATAAATGCTCGAGATAATCTCTGTATATAATGCATTCTTGAACTGCAAAATAATTATAATATTAATTATTTTTCATAAATGTTGAAATTGGTAATTGCTAAAGCTTAGGTCTCTATTTGAAGATATAACCTCTTCTAAACCCACATATGGGGAATAGTCTAGAAAAATTATTGTTTGAAATATCAAATGATAGTTTTTCTAGTCAATTTTCCATAACTTATACTTGCTAGCAAAACCTCTAAAGTTTGGAACTTGAAATTTGGAATGATTTTATTATGTTTAATATTGGGGATTTTATTATGTTTGAGATTTTAATTTGGATAGCAAGTATAAATATATTTTTTTCTAGTATTAAATTCTAATTTAACTGTATATATACTGTATATATATATATATATATATATATATATACAATAAAGCTATATTAATTATTAATTATTATTTTTGATTTTACTCACACAGGATCTGTTGGTAGGTATTTTTTAATATTAATTGGCACCTATAAAGGTAAATTCTTGAGTGCATTTTCTAATTAATAATATTTGATTTTATTATTTGACATTATGTAGATATTGCCTTTATAAATTTTAATTGTTGTAGCCTGTTCTATACTTCGAACTGGGGTTATTAATGCATGATTTCTGTTGTAATTTTATTTTGCTATTTTAAAAAGCTAGTATAATTTAAAATTACAGCAATTAATGTATTATAGAGCTCACAAAGCCAAGCGAATAATGGTTTTAAGATCTACTGTAACATTGTGTGTAATGCAAGAGCCTGACAATGAAGATTTAATTCTATTGTATTAAAAGGTTTTCGTGATACTTTATATGACTCCAGGTTAGCGCGATCGAAGAACCTTATGAATAACTCTGGAATATGATAGCTGCATTCTTTAAATTTTGAGTGACTATGTATATCGATATACCAAATTGCTTCACATAGACAACTAACGAATTTTTTTCCTTGTGAATCAGCATCCTCAATTGAAGACCACCCTCTACCATTTTGATGAATCCATTCGATTATATCATTATATAACACTTGTTTATTGTTTAATCTTTTATATTTCAAAGGGTATGGTAAAAATTTTTTTTTAAAATTTGCATAAGAATTTCTAATGCATTTTGACACGGCACTAAATGAGAAGTTACAATATCACTAGTTTTAAGATAGTAATGTGTATTTAAACCAAATGCTTTAGTTGACTCTATTATTTCACAATGAAGACTAGCTTGAATAGTTGTTGCACCTGCGTCTAACATTTGGCTTAATTCAATATGATCAATCGTTTCAGAGGGGTCTATAGAAATATTGCATTCTGGAGATATTTCACCTATAATGAGTTTATCAAAAAAATCTTTAATAGTCATCTTATATGGTATTGGATGAGCATACCAGCCATGAAGCATTTTTAATCCTTTTGAAATATGAATATTTGCAATTGGCATATTTTATTAAGTACAACTTTACAAGTATATTATGAATTTTGGATTTTTAAACTGCTCTTTTTTATTTATATATTTTTATTTTCTTTACAGATACCGTATATTGCCAAAAATAAGCCATCTCCGAAAATAAGCTACCTTCTTTTTTTAGAAGAAAAACATAAAAACGTCTTATACCTGAAAATAAGCTACTATACGATCATCAGTAGTTACTCTATAGTAAAGTCAAAATTTTAC